CCCCCCCCACCAGGTGGGCCAAGGCCCCGAGCCCTGGCAGGGTCCTGAGGAATGAGACCAGTTCTTTTTACGCTCTGTTCGAACGTGCGGGTCTTTTAAAGGTGTTTCTTCCACGTCCCCCAAGACGACTCGAGGAAGTCGTCGGCCTGCGGCTTTGCTGCGGCTCAAGTGTTGTGAAAGAACGTGGTTCTGAATTCGTGAAAAAAGTGCGATATGGAGCAATATGTCTTTCAAGGGGACCGAGTTGCATTTCTGCAAGAACAGCTCGAGACTCGTTCAGGTAGAGGCGGGCAGTTTTCTGCGCCTGCCACCTACCTAACAACATCACCCGGTCAAGGTTTCCATGCTGTGCAAACCACCACGTAGCCCCGCCCCGACGTAACGAGTACGGTCGAAGCTCTAGACTTTCTAAATGAAGGGCCTCCACGCATAGTTTAAACAATTTCCGCCAACGTGCGGGGGTTGGACACAGCTTTTGGTGACTACTGGCCAGGGAAAACCAATGCTGCATAAAACGAAATGCGAGGTCGTGACCTACTGTCACGCTTTCCTGTACTCCAGCTCTTTTACCGGCTTTGGTCAAGCCTAAGCTGACCACACATACTCGAAGTTTCGAAGAAATTTCCACTCGTTTACGGGAAACTTCCAGCAGTTCTCCCGTTCTTAAAATTCCATAGAAACATAGGAGTAAACTGGTGGCAAAAGAGAAATATCCATGGTATAATCCCCAGCCCACCATGGCTTGGAGCACCGACTCTGGAACAGGGGGTGCCCGGTTTGGTAATTCATGAGTCACCCACGTTTTGACTAAGCGCCAAGCGCCAGGGAGTTGCCCCCGAATTTTTGCATCGAAGTCCTGCAACGATGCCAGGGTATCGGCGGCCAAGCCTCGCCCCTCCCCGGTCACCCAGAGGTGCTCCACATACTCCATTACCAACGGGTCCAGATGATCACGGCGCGATGGCAACTCCAAATTTTCTTCGCGGAGGAAAGCTAGGAAGCGATCTAGCGCTTTTTGGTACCTTGCTCTAGTAGAGGGTTGAACTGTCAACTGACGCAAACTGCCTAACCTTTGCCTTTCATTTGCTCTGCGGGCCTGAGTGGTTCCCTCAAGAACGACTCTTGGCATGCCTAAACTTGGTTCGCACCGACCACCGCGAGGCCTTATCCGCGGGGTTGAGGTCGGTATGCACATACCCCCAAAGACCAGCGACGTCATGGGCCAGCAAGAGCGAATTTATTCGGCAAAGAGTTCTTCGTAGGCGGCGGCTGGAAGTTCTCCCTCTGGTCAAACTGTGTAAACACACTAATGAGTCGGTCAAGTGCAAGATACGACAAGAGTGCTCGGACAAGTGCTCCACGCGCCATCTCAAACAGGCTAGAATCGCCCGGAGCTCCAGTGAGTTTATGTGCTCCTTTTGGTTGTGCCATTTCCAACCCGAAACCACCTGCCACGTCCACATCTTGGCATTCACTGTGTGGCGTAGACGCTGAAACCGTTGGACTTCGTCTTGCGCTGCTGTGAACATCAGGTCGGCCCCTTTCGTGGACACTAACCGCCCCAGCTGCGCCGCCAATGCCGTCTCCGGAACTGAACTCTTTTGCTGGTCAACATTCAGGGGCGGTCTCATAAGCCGTGAATGGATATAGGGGTTTCCATCAAGCATGAGGCGATCCATGATTTCAGACGGTGACAGGGCCCTCCCAACGCCCCGACTACTCAGCAGCTGCCCAATCAGCCATGCCACGATTGGGACAGCCCAAGAATTGCCTACCAGAGTGAGCCGTTTGTCGTTGCACTCGGAGCTTTTCCTCTGCGATTTGGGTGCACACATTTGCGTGTAACCGACGGGCAGACCCATGATGAACTCGCGTTCAGAGATGGAGGGCAACCGATAGTGACCGTGTTTGTTGACCAAGCAGTTGCAGGGTAGGTATTGGTAAGGGGGGAATCTATATTTGTCTTGTTCCCACCTACGAACCGTCTCCTTGTCACAATGCTGCAACCCTGCAGGGCGATGCCCCGGCGTTGACCGTGGCCTCGATGTCGTAAAGGTTGGGAAAGGTCGGTCCCCATCAACTTTACGCCAACCCTTTTCCACGAAGTCTGACCAAGGTTGATGACCAATCAGCACAACACGATCCCCATCGATATAGGCCTCCGTGTGTGACTCCGTGAGTTCCCAAGTAATCCAATACAGGCGTGGTCGGTTGCACCAACAAAGGCTGCCGGCCTCGATTTCCCAGGGCGTGTCCCCGAAAGAGCTAGACATGATCACCTTGTCCGTCTCATCCATGGATGCAACGCTCTCCATCAGGCAATGCACCTGCGACCAGGGGAAATATGATTGCACCAACCGACGGATACGCTGAACGTGTGTGAAAAGGCTTGACCTATCATCCTTCAGCGCCCCCTTCCGTTGGCTGTTCAGCCCTGAGACGCCTTGACAGGGCGGTCCAGCCCCGATGAGTACGAGTGCAACCTGTCCGAAGCGAAGTGACCAGCCCTTCACATCCTGCTCCCCGACCTGCTCGATGTCGTCATAATGTACACTGTCTGGGAAGTGATGTTCGACGACACGCCTGGCCCCAGGGTCCTTCTCCACACAGATGTGCCCCGCTACTTCGCTGCCCAGGAGGTCCAGCGCGACCCTCAAACAACCAATGCCATCAAAAAGGCCAATAGAAAATACCCGTCCTGAACCGTCTTCTGCAACCTCCTTAGAGGCTTCGCCCAGGGCAACCTTCGCCCCGAAGTTTGTCAGCCCACGGGCCACGCATACCCCACCGCCTTGGGTAGAGGCGTCACTGCAAGTAACCGTAGGATTCAAGGGCAGCCTGAAACTCATCCGACACAAGGGAACCAGGCACAAGAAGCGGTAGATCTCCACCTTCACACCCAAGGGAATGACCTGATGGTGTCGACCACACGTTTTGAAAGACTCAATGAAGCTCCACACCATGTTGAGTCCACCTAGGAGTTGCCGCCGAAAGGTGGAGAAGTACACCAAACCGCCACACACCACCTGCATCTGTTTCTGCGTGGCGTAGGTTTCATGAACCAGTTTGTAGGCAATGGTCATATACTTTGACAACTTCTGACCTTTCGGATAGGCCACCCCGAGCGTGCCGTCCACCACGGCTCCTTGAACCTCGGCCACGACGCTCCGACTTACTGCCTTGCCGGGATGCCTAGGCAGCCCCCACGCCAAATACTCTTGACGCAAGGCCGCAACCTCAGGGGCCACTTCCCCCGACACCGTCCCCAGGACCTCATGCGGGTACTTCTCAAGCAGGTCGTAGTTGTCTAGATACACCCGCCAGACCGCCTTACCATCAGGAAGCACCTTGTCTTTGCGAATCTCCTCCCGCGAAGTGTTCCGCACCTGGTTGTGCTGCTGCGACCTATCTACCAGTACCCGGTGTACGTGTTGCGCAATGCCCACGCTGTTGAGAAAGCCCATGGGCAGCACTTTGGAACAGGGATAGCACACTTGTCCCCGCAGTTCAGGCGGCACCAACGATTCGGGAAGCGCTTTGTTGAAGCATAAGAAGGGGTACCAGCACTTGGGCAGTCCCAGGGTGTAAAAGAAACACCGCAGGTCCTCGCTGGACACCACCAGGGACTCATGAGGCTCAAGGTGGAATGGTGACATACCGAACCAATGAGGAAGTGTACCGATGTCGGCTGACATGCCTTGGCACAAACCGTTTAATGGCACCAGGTTCATAATCAGGCGGTAGATGGGAACTCCATCTACCGCCTCGTGCTTCTCGACTCCAAATAAGCCGTTTAGCAATAACTTGTCATCCACACGAAAAACCTCGCTCTCAGGGACAATGCCAAAGACCCCTGCCCCGATCAGCCCTGCGGCCACTTCCGCCCAGTCAGAGTCTCTCACCATCACTCGGGAGTTTCTGGGCTTGCCCCACTCACGCTGGGGTTTCAGGAAGTCAGGAAAATGTTGCACATAATACTTGCACCCTTGCTCACAAATCTCCTCCAATTGAACTACCCCGATTTCCCGTGGAAGTGCAGGGCAAATGTTCCGCCAGGTGAAAGTCAAGGCTGTCTTAACTTCGTCTCCCTTGTAATCAATCCCGCGTGTACGGAAAAATGAGTTCCACTCAAACTCTTCGGTTACCTCCTTGACCACAGCTAGCCTCCTAACCTCCACGATGATCGACTGAACGACCCGCGCCTTGACTGCCGTGAGACTGTTGGTTGAAGCTCCATCCACTGCATCCTGAGAGGGGCTCGCACGACACCCCCACAGGGAATTCAAACCCATGCAAACTGCAATGACCCAATCTAGAGCCCACAAATCTTCGGGGGCGAAAAGGGGATGAAGAAGTTCCGGATGAGTCGGAAGAGGGAAAGTGTCCTTGGAGCCACCCACAACTCCCTTACGATTCACCCCTTCCATGGACTGGCTGCAGAGCGACAAGACCCTCCGAAACCCCTCCACCAATTGCCTTCCCATCGCCCCCACTGTGCTCCCACAAAGCGACAAGGCTTTTTCCTCGTCCTTGAACGATCCAGGGCGTTGCCCCGTGAGTCCAGCTACGCTTGGGATCTGCTCCACTGGTTTGTCTCGTGGAGACCCTGGCGCTGCTGCTTCTGGAGAAATATGGCGTGCCTTCTGCCGAATCGTCTCCGGCTGCCAGGCCTCGCCCCCAGGGAAACCCCCCGATGCTGTACTTGCTCGTGTCTTCATAGCTTCACTCGTGACCAGCGCCCGATCCTTGAAAGCTCCGTCGCTGGCCCTCATACTGTCACCCCTCTGTAATGCAGGGCTCAATCCCCGTGTGCCAGGTTCCTCAACAGGGCTGTCTGCCTGCCGGCCCCCGTCCACCGGGCTTGAGCCCCTTTCAAAAACCGTTCCAGGGCCACTCTCCTCTGCCCCGTCGTCTTCCGCCACTTGCACTGCACCGCTTGTTGCATCATCCCTCACTCCTTCTTCGGCTTCTCCTTCCCTTTCTTTCCTTTTCCTTTGTTGCTCTCTCCTTTTCCTCCTTTGCCTTTTCCCCAGTCTCGCCAGGTCGGAGTCTGATGTGCCTTGACTTCCGCCCTCTGTTCCGCGACCGCGATCGAAAGCTCCTGGCGCGATGAAAGGGTGGCGCCGTCCGGTGGCAAAAGCTCTAGCCTCTGTGCTGCCGACCACCCCAACCCCGAAGCTTGGGCCTCCAGGGATTTGATACGCTGTACCAAGCAATCCAACGCTCCCGGAACTGATCCCTTCAGGAGCTGGTCCCCGATGGTGCTCAGGGTAAAGGCCTCTCGGCTCATAGGCCCTGCCATCCTCTTTGCCAGGGCCTGTCTGTAATACTTCAGGAGCGTGGGGGACCAGTGATCGTCTTTTCCTTTCTCCTCGCCGATCTCCTGGACTAGAAGGTTTTGCATCGCTTCTATCCCTTGAGAGGCTAATACGCCGGGAAACATGAGTCCCACTGCGCGAATTTTCTGGGATTCGCCGAACACTTGGTCCCCCTTCAACACCAGGTCGGCTGGGCTCTCTGAAGAGTCCGATTTGCTATCCTTCTTTGAGCTCCTGGCCTTTCTTGCAAATTTCTGCGCCCTTCTCCTCTGCCTCAACCGGATCCTTCTTCGAGGGTCCAGCCCCGACCCAGTGAACATCGTGCTCTGCTCGATCTCCTTGAACTCGATGGTGGATGAGCTGCTGCTCGAAGAATCCTCGCTCACAGGGCTCTTTCCCCCGGCTTTGTCGTGCCTCTCCTTTTTTCTTCCCTTCTTTTCCTTGTCGCTTGAGCTTCTTGAGCGAGATCGCCCTCTTTTCTTCTTTTTTCCTTTCTTTTCTTTTTGACCTTTTTCTCCTTCTCTTCCTTCTCCTTTATCTCCTTTGCGGCCTCCACGGCGCCCCCAGGGCGAGGTGCCCCGACCTCCTCCATCCGACCTCTCAGGGCTGCCAGTTCGTCTTCCCCCGGGGGTCCACCTGCAACCAAAACGTCGCGCCAAGGGAGTTCTGCTACGTCCTCGAGCGACTTGAGAGCTTTGATCCGGGCTGCATGAATGATGCCTGGACCTTCCCATTCGCGACCGCAATCTGCCGGACACACATGGACCTTGGCTTGAGCTCCCTTTGATGTTGCCCAAGTAAGGAGTGGCTCGTGCTCGGTACCGAGCAGGCGAACGGTCAGGGTCCTCCCCGCTGCGTCCCTCATGTCCTCTGTGATGCGCCCGGTGAGCTTGCAAGGGGCTCCGAAGTAACTGCACTCCTCGCCCAGGATGATCTTTCCCACGGCGAGTTCGTCCTCCATGGCATGATCGCCACGATCGACTTCCACTTCTTCTCGAGCTGCCGGTCTCCTCACTACTGGCCTCGCCCTCAAGGCCCCTGCGGGCCGACGAATCACCTTCGGGGCCATGTCTGTCCTTTGAAGGGACGACCTTTCCCTCCTTTTCCTTTGCCTTTGCCCTTGTTAAATCTCTCCTGTCCTCGAACCACGTGGGCCCAGCCTTTCCAGCGCTTGGCTGTTGTCGGTTCTCCCGATCGAAAGCCTGGTGGCGACACTGATGGGGTTCGTGGCCTGCGAGGCAATGGTTTCCGACTCGAAGGCTTTGCAGCTTGTCGCAGCCCGTATCCCTGGGGCCGCTGTTCAACCTCGTCGTCTTGACTGCCGTCTTCGTGGTCCTCCTCGGGCTCTTCACACAGCTCCTCCGCAGCCTCCGGCTCCGATGCTGTGGCAACCACTTCTTCCTTCGCTACCTCAGGGCTCTTGGTACCCCGCCCGGACTTTTTCTCTCTTCGCCGACTCCTGCTCTTCGATCTCTTCTTCTCCTCTCGACGATGCCTTCGCCGCCTCGAGCTCTCAGCCTTCTTTCCCTCACCCTCGGTGGACTCAGCCTCCTTCTTGGTTGATGCGCCCGAAGATTCAGGGTGCTTCGACCCCGTGTGCACTCCAGCTTCGTATGCACCAGGTACACGCTCCTTCACCCCCCTAGCGGCTTCCACCAAAAAGCCCCGGCTGTCAACAACACCCGCTGTCTTGTCAAGTTCAAAGGCCTCGGTGTCCTGTTCCAGCACGCTCAGTGTCTTGCCCAGAAAGGAGGTAAGTTCCCTGGCCTTGCTCGGGGGATACCTGGTGCACACGATCCTCTCAACCTTGAAAGCAGCACGGGTCGCAATAACCGGATGAACCAGGCCGAATCTCGAGGCGGCCGTGGCAAGCCTTACACTCCATAAACCTGGAAGCCAAACACTACGGAACATTCAAAAGTTGGGTGAGCAGATTCTTTATCCCCGGGGGCGGGGTACCATATATTATATACATAAATAGAGAGAGAGAGAGAGGCGCCGAATTAGGCTGAAATATATGGCTGTGAGTTGAAACCCGGATCCCTGGACTCACCCTGGTAGGTTGACCATGTCCAGTCTATTCTGTTCACACGCTGACGAATCGAATCCGTGAGGTGATACGTCTTGTCCACGACACTCAGATTTCGTCTCATTTATATCTGCTTATTCTCCCACTCGCAGGTCCGACCGTGCAGGTGCGCAAACTTCATGGCATCTTTCGATGTAACCACACCATAGTCATGAGGACCCATCAACCAGCCAAACAAATGTGAGACCACATGCAATCTAATTTATATACTACAGGAATTTGATTATGATCATCTGAAGTCTTGATGTCCTTCCTAAGAGACACAAACACAGCTACCCCACGTCGTAACCGTTCGACCGCGACCTTCGGTGGCTCCGCGACCGTCTCAGCTCTCGGCGACTCCTGGCGTCGAAGTCGAGAGAGGCAGAACAGCTTGGCGAGGTGCTTCTTGGGGTCTACTAATAGTCTATGGATGTCTATGGTCTAAGAGTCTAGTCTAGTATGGTCTATATATATATATGTCTATATACTGTATGGTCTTCTATGGTTCAGACTCTACGAGTACTATGGCTATGGTATATTATGGCAGAAAGGCTTGGCAAGCTATGGTCTACTCATGTCTACTCGACATCGTCCGATCATCCGAGAAACCCTCTGCTCGTCGCTCGAAAACTGCTGCAAAAAGAGGGCTCGAGTGCAATCTTTGTTTTAAGGGCACCACCAGTGTCCTGCTGGTCATGGGGTGTTGATTCACAGACCCAAGAAAAGGCTTTCTGGGGTGTCCAGTCACCACCCAACTCCCGTGGGTGGTAGGGGTCTTAGGGCTTGACCTCTGCCTTTCACTACGCTTCACCATAGGCTGATGTTCTTAGAGGAAATGGTTTCAAAACGCCAGCGGCTGTGCGGAGGCCCAGCTCCAGGGAATGGGAATCCACATTCGTCCGTCCTGTCCCGCCATCTTCTGCCTCAGAGCGGTTTTCTGAAGAACGTTCACCCAGAAGAGGTTGGAAAACCTTCAAACACCACCTTCCCAAGTATTCATGGTGCTTGAAACAGGTATTCATTTCTTGTCGGGTTTCGCTCATAGTGCAGGAGGTAATCTTCTCTGGAAGTTATAACCCCCGCCCAGGAAAATCATGTTCCTGCGTGCAGCAAAATAGTGCCTTCAGCTTGCGTATGTCCAGAAGGATCTCATATTTTGTTTCTTCGTGTGTATGATTGTGTATAATATGCCTGCAAGTGTTCCGCCAAACCACCCAACAAAACGCACATTCCTACCCCCTTTACCCACCATCACTAATTATCCACCCCCACCCATCCACCTCACTCACTCCCAATTGCCATCCAGGCGCCGCCAAGCTTGTGCTCGCGCCAGCTGCGCCTCTTCGCGCTTGCGCATCGCCAGTTGATGCTCCCGCGCCAACGCGGCACGCCGCTGCTGCTCAGCTACCTGGGGGCGATGTGGGGCTCACCCAGCTAGAATATGAATGGAAAATAGTGCATCCAGATGATGGATGAAATTAGTATTCTTGTGAATTGACCATCCTTCCATCACTACAAATACTACAAAATGTTATGATGGTTCTGCATAGCAAAGGCATACTTTTAAACAACACTGACATATATATATAATTGGATATAATCGGTGCTGGGTGTTGCATGTATCAGGCCGACGTGTGCATAGCCGCACTATTCACTTTTACACTGGCCGCTGGCCTAGACCTGAGGCAACACTTGGCCCAAATGCTTTGCAGCGAAATCGTAAACTAGCGACCACTGTTACATATCATTCTGCTTGCATAAAACGACTTCATTCATTGAAGCCAGAAAGGCACCTGAACGTAAATCAACCAGAGTGAAATCATTAAAACAAAAAACATAAAGTCTAATGCTCCATGTAATCATGGTCGATGCCACAACTGATGCCATCACCAGTCCAAACCACCCAAATTTGGGTTTCTTTGCACGAATATTAGCCGACCCTGCACACCAGGGTCTGACGTATATTTCGCTGATTCCTCCAAACTCCGCACCTCAGCTTCCTCCAGCTTGGCACGTCGCTCCGCTGCCGCGCGCTCCTCTTCCTGCTCTTCCCGCTCACGCGCCTCCTGGCAACATGTCTGGCAGAAAGGGAGGGGAAAGTTCATCTATGTTCGAATGACGTTGGTGTCCCGAGTAATTATGGGAAAAACACATTTGTGGTTCTAGAATTATCTAGATATTGCTTAGATCAAACAAGCATTATCTAGCACTTGTTTCATTGGGAATCATTGGGATCATTGGGATGTGGGAGGATGAATAATTGTGAACAATGTATTGAGGCGGGGTACTATCAATAGTTTTCCCTGGTGGGCAGGGATCATTTGTGTAACCTTCAGGTTTGTTTGTCATCCTTGACCTACAAGCTGCCAGCCCATAGCCGAATATAGACTGCTACAGGGGTCGTGTTACAGCGGCACAAGCAAGAAGACTAAAACTAAAAAACAATGACTCGACATGCATTTCGTAAACTGTGGATCAGGATGAACTCAGCGAACGTGAGCGTTCTTTGAGATCGAGCATGCAAGCAGGCCTATGAATTTCAAGTTTCGGATCGCTTCTTCAACCACATCCTCAGAAGGTAGGGACTGACTTCGGGGGGTCACTACTTGGTCACTATACTTGTTGGTTTACGTCTACTTACCCTTAGAAGCCAAGTGAAGGTACTCGGAGCCAAACAGGAGGGTGAACTCGAACCCAAGAGTGCGAGCTCACGAAGCAGAAAGCATGAGATACACTCAGTCAAAGAGAGCAGGAAGATCTTCTGGATCCTGGTTTCCTGAATAGCGGATCTCATCTTGCTTAAGCATCCGGGAAAAAAGTACAACATATTATACTGCATTTCTAGGAGGGAGATTAATTCACCCATCCGGAACATTAGAAACAGCATGAAACAACCCATTGCCATGTAACTATTCTAGATCCATCAATGAACCCCTTCAAGACCCAACGCGGAATGGACGCCATGCTCGAAGTGCCCTGCGCGGCCCACCAACCGCCTGTGCCATGGCGGCCTCGAGCTCACTGCGGAGCTTCTCCTCGCTCTGCTGCCGCAAGGCGCCCAGCTCCTGATGCAAATGCACCTGGCACGGGAGGTGGAACGCCGCTCGGAACGGACGAAGAGGAGCAGAGCCGAATCCGCCCGGCCGAGCGCGAAGCCGTGAAGAAAAGAGTGGGTGAGCAGGTGGGATCCGGGGGGTGTACACGACACCAACAACCCCTACATAGGGCCCCTTCAGTTCGATAGTCTGTAGTGATATACCGGGCTTGGCTCTAGGCTTGAAGACTCAACCAGATGGGAGCTTCCCTATTCAGGGCCCTCAAATGGTCTTCTCGCTTCACGGCCCAAAGAACTCCCCAAAACAGCAACACGGCGGCGGTGCAGAATGGGTTAGAACTACAGGCTTTGGCAGCACTAAGACATCCACCCCATGGCACAGAAAACCTGAACACTGGAGGCTCCGATAGCAAACAATGCAAAGGTATAGCAATAGAAAAAAAATAAAACATCCAACCGATGTTCCTCACACTTCTTCCTGAGGTGTTTGTCTCCAGAGTGAGTGAACTGGTTGCCTGAAGAAGAGCCTTAAATTTCCATGCAAATGTCTGACTTTTCGGGGGTCACCAACAGGTAGTTTGACTTGCAAAGTGACTGAAACATCTCCAGCAGCTGTAACACCAACTTCAACACGCACCCACAAAGTTTCCACAAACTACCTATGCAGACCTCACCGACCTCAAAAGTCCAAAATCAGAACCATGCCGACCTCAGCGACCTCCGAACCCGCGCCACGCGCGCGGCGGGAGAGTTCCTTTTCGTCCGCACCTGCTGGTCTTCGCTGGCAGAGAGCTCGGCACGAAGCACTTGCAGGTGTTGCAGCGCGGCGGTGCGCTGCGCTTCAAACCTGCGAGCCGCTGCAGCTTGGCGTGGCGTGGTGCGAGCGGCGGTTCGCAGCTGTGAATCTGTCGTTCTGGAGGGTGGCTGGGGGCTGGGGCTCCACAAAAATGTGTAAATTTTCCGGCAAGAGACCCCAAACCGTGTATCTAAAGGTCTAAGGTCTAGAGGCGTAGAAGCAGAAGGACTAGAGATCTAGAAACATGGGTTCCAAAGAAAGGTGATGGTGGTGATAAAGGTGGTGATGAAGGTGATGATGGTGATGATGGTGTTGGGGGAAATGGTGGTGGTGATGCGATGACGGCGGTGATGGTGGTGGTGGTGATGGTGGTGGGAGTGATGGTAGCAATGATGGTAGTGATGGTGGTGGTGATGGTGGTGGTGACCCCGTTTTCCTTTGTCTTCTTCTTCTTGGGTTTCCACGGCTTGCTGGCTTGCCCGGCTCGTCGGGGCCCTTTCCTCTCCGACCGGCTTGTCTTGATGCCCCTGTCCCGCCGTCCATGCGCTCGAGAAAACCGAGATCTTTCATATGGGCAGCGTTTTTCACCCATGAGGGCTGACTCAAACGAGAGAAAGGCACCATGCTGCTGCGGCTTCTGTTCCGTTGGGGGATGGCAAATTGATGCAAATTGAGGTTCTGGCAGAGCAGTGACGAGCCAGGCCAACATTTGCGGCCGAAATCTGCACTTCAAGGTGCTGCGCCTCCCACGAAATCTGCACTTCAATGTCCTCACTTCAAGGTTCGCAAAGTACATCAAAGTACTGTGCCTGCCACGACACCTACAAAGCGCTGCACCTGCCATGCAATCTGCGCGTCTATGATGACCCACAAAATACTGCGCCTGTAACGAAATCTGCACATCAAGATTCACATCGCGCAGCCCTGCCAAGGCGATGACGGAAAGCGATGAATATCGCTCCACGGTAGGTTTTGCTGGGGGGGGTTGGGGGGGGTGACAGTTTCGAGATTTTGATTTGCAGACTTTTGGGTGTCTTGAGGCAATATGTTGAAGTTAACGAAACACTGTAAAACACAGCAAAAAATAAGACTTTTTGGCATCATTAATGCAATGTTTTTTGATAAAACTGGGCCCCGACTTTCCACAAGGGCATCGGATACAAAAATGACAGAGAGAATGCTAAAAAAGTCGGGGGCATTCCACAGCACCACTTGCATCACTACGAGGTGCATGGGGGGCACAAAGAGCACAGAAGAGACGCAAACAAAGCAAATCAACTTAAGATGAGAATTTTTTGACACCAAGGCCCACAAGGAGACAGAAAGAGCACAGAAGAGACAGAAACAAAGCAAATCAACTTAAAGCAAATCAACTTAAGATGAGAGTTTTTTGACACCAAGGCCCACAAGAAGACAGAAAGAGCACAGAAGAGACAGAAGCAAAGCAAATCAATTTAAGATGAGAGTTTTTTGACACCAAGGCCCACAAGAAGACAGAAAGAGCACAGAAGAGACAAGGCCCACAAGAAGACAGACAGAGCACAGAAGAGACAGAAACAAAGCAAATCAACTTAAGATGAGAGTTTTTTGACACCAAGGCAGAAAGAGCACAGAAGAGACAGAAGCAAAGCAAATCAACTTAAGAAGATAGTTTTTTGACACCAAAGCCCACAAGAAGACAGAAAGAGCACAGAAGAGACAGAAACAAAGCAAGTCAACTTAAGGTGCGAGTTTTCTTGACACCAAGGCCCACAAGAAGACAGAAAGAGCACAGAAGAGACAGAAACAAAGCAAATCAACTTAAGATGGGAGTTTTTGACACCAAGGCCCACAAGAAGACAGAAAGAGCACAGAAGAGACAGAAACAAAGCAAATCAACTTAAGATGAGAGTTTTTTGACACCAAGGCCCACAAGAAGACAGAAAGAGCACAGAAGAGACAGAAACAAAGCAAGTCAACTTAAGATGAGAGTTTTTTGACACCAAGGCCCACAAGAAGACAGAAAGAGCAACAGAAGAGACAGAAGCAAAGCAAACCAACTTAAGATGAGAGTTTTTTGACACCAAGGCCCACAAGAAGACAGAAAGAGCACAGAAGCTGTAGAAGCAAAGCAAATCAACTTAAGATGAGTGTTTTTTGACACCAAGGCCCACAAGAAGACAGAAAGAGCACAGCAGAGACGGAAACAAAGCAAATCAGCTTAAGATGAGAATTTTTTGACACCTAGGCCCACAAGAAGACACAAAAAGCACAGAATGGACACAAAAAAGGCAAACCCTTTTGAAAAGAATGGAAAGCACCTGGGGAAATTGACACGGCAACCCCAAAAGTATGAAACCACGCTTTTGGGCAGACAACGCACTGGATCAAGGCTAACCTGCTTGAGAAGAGGCGAAAACAAGGCAAGCCAACTTCAAAGGCATGGAAAGCGCATAGGAAAAGCAACCAGGAAACCCAAAAATACGAAGCCAACAACACGAAAATCACATTGGGGCCTAGAGCCAGTTGTTGTCGCAACAAGGCTCACAAAGACAAAGAACCAAGGGTAACCCATTTAAAAAAGATGGAAAGCACCTAAGGCACAAAGAGCACAGCAGACGGCAACAAAGCAAATCAGCTTATGATGAGAATTATTTGAAACCAAGGCCCACAAGAAGACACAAAGAGCACAGAATGGACACAACCAAGGCAAAACCTTTTGAAAAGAATGGAAAGCACCTGGGAAAATTGACACGGCAACCCCAAAAGTATGAAACCACGCCACGCTTTTGGTCAGACAACGCACTGGATCAAGGCTAAACCTACTTGAGAAGAGGCGAAAACAAGGCAAGCCAACTTAAAAGGCACGGAAAGCACATAGGAAAACCAACCAGGAAACCCAAACAAATACGAAGCCAACAACAGTAAAATCACATTGGGGTCTAGAGCCAGTTTTTGTCGCAACAAGGCTCACAAAGACAAAGAACCAAGGGTAACCCATTTAAGAATGATGGAAAGCACCTAAGGCACAAAGAGCACAGAAGAGACAGAAACAAAGCAAATCAACTTAAGATGATAATTTTTTGACACCAAGGCCCACAAGAAGACACAAAGAGCACAGAATGGACGCAAGCAAGGCAAACCCTTTTGAAAAGAATGGAAAGCACCTGGGAAAATTGA